TTTATTTGGTCTCCAAGCTGTTCTTGGAGGATGTATCCTTTCTCTCCAGGACTCTGGTACAAGCTTTATTTAGCCTCACAGATTCAGGCGCGGAAGGGCACCATGCTCCCCTGCCACCTTCCTCTAGCACCTCACAGCCACAAGTTACCTACATGCTCTGCCTGATGAGGGCAAAGCTGATACAGGGTGCCTGGGGACTGACTAAAATAAGGCACTGCACCTTTCGCAGTTAAATATTATTAATGTTTATTATATAATTATTACATGTTACAGAGTTCAGACCCGCAAGCCAGCTGCTCACATAGGACGGGATGTGTGAGTAGCAGTGGGGTGGTTTTTTCTGCTGTGACTGCACAATTCCCGTTGCTGGCGAGGCGCTGCGGAGTTACACCCCCACGGGGAAGCTGAAGCACGCTCGGAGCACCGGGGCAGCCCGCCGGAGCACCACCAGCACCCCAAGGCCGCTCTTCCCGGCGAGCCCAGCCGGTGCGCTAGGGCCAGGCAGCAGAGGGAGCGCGGGGCTTGGCGCTGCCAGGCCTTTAAACCCGGCGCTGCCGCTCCGCGCTGGCCAATGGGAGGGCGGGCGCGGCGAAGAGCGGGGTGCCCATTGGCTGTGGCCTGCGGCGGGCGCGGCGTTCGGGGCGGTCGGCGGGGTGCCGAGTGGTGGTGGCTTGCGTTCTGCGCCCCCGGGGCTTTGGCCAGGCTTCCCATCCCCCTGTCCTACTCTCCGGCCTTTGCTTTCCACCGTGTTTCGGTCCATTGAGCCGTGGGGAGGGCAGGTAGGAGCCCCTTGGGAGAGCGGCTCTCCAGGCAGAGGGTGTATTGAGGTCTCCCCTTGCTTCTTGTCCCTGTGCAGAACCCACTGTTGCGAGGAAGCAGGCGGAAGGAGAGTGCAAAGGTAGCACAGGGGTACGAATGTACCGGCAGGTCAACGGTAGATGTGTACAGGCAATGAGAGCCCGTAGTTGCTCTAGTACACAGTGCCTAAGTGAAATGAGGTCCAGACATGCTACAGGCAAGGTTTTTCAGTACGCAGGCGGGTTTTGAAGGACTCTTCTCTATGCTTCTGACAGTTTAAGCAAATGAGGGATCATTTCATGTCCAGCAGTGGTTTGGGCTCATAACATAGAAAGTCTTTCTGAGAAGCAAAGGTGTTGCTGGTGGGGCTGAGAAAAGAGCTTCTAATGAAAAACACGTGGGTGAGACTGTATCTCTCAGGGCACTCTTCAGCATCCCTTTGCTACTTCCAAAACTCCCTCATGCTCTGCCAAACGGTAAATTGGAGATTCTTCCCTCAGAAGCACTTTCTTTTCGCTCAGTGGTTTTTTTTATTGCTGGTTGCAGTGGCAAGATCCATGAACAGAAACTTTGCTCCCACTGTGAGTAGGCAGAGGGAGTTGTGCTTCCAGTGTTCAGAGCTTGTTTTGAGAGCAGTAGCATACCCTACATTCCCCTGGGGCTCACCACCAAAACCTGTGCAGAAATTCACTGCAGAGGAAAAAGAAACTCCAAAGCATCCTGCAGACAGTAGAAAATACAAGGAGAATCTCTTCAAGAAGATGCTGTGACTGCAGTTCCCAAGGATGCTCTTTTTCTGAGCAAACTGTCCATTGTGTGTGCAAACTTTCCTTTGACCGAAGTAGAAGGGCTTTGGGATAGGTGAGGACCTAATAGGGAACCAACTTGTCCCTTCAGGAGTCCCTGGCCAGAGGAAGTGTCAGGACCTGTGGTGAAATGAGATACTTTTCCTCCTTGTAGCAAGTGAAGCCAGAGAGGGGGTGAGGACTAAGCTCATCAGGCTTTCTTCATCTTCTTTTCCCATGTCTCTGTTTCACACCCTGCTCACAATCATTTCTCTGGTGAGAGCACCCTGAGGGTCCCAGGCAGGGAGAGGAGTCCCTTTGCTGTGGGATAGAAAATCTGGGCATGCACACATGATTTTGCCTTCTCCTCCTCTGAGAGAATTACAGGAGCACATATACTGCTTAATATACTGCACCAGGCTCAAAGCTGAAAAATTACTGCTTAGACTTCTGTTCCATCACAGGGTTTTGTTTTTATTTTCTCCTAGAAGGGTATTTTTCATCACTGGAAGAAAAATTCATTAAAATCCAGAAGGTTTGTGTTATTGTTGCAAGAGTTCAATCCTGGTCGCCACCATCCCTCCCCCTTCTTTGCATTTCCCAGATCCCCAGGAGGAAAAGAAAGAATGAATGAAAGAAAGAAAAACCCTCCAAAAGAAAGCAGGGGTCTCCTCTCAAACTCTCATGCTTGCAGGCTAGCTCCTGGCACGCTTATAGGCATGGCACACAGCCTCTTCTGTCGGCACAGACTTGGCAAACCTGGGCCAGAGCTGGCCTTTCTTATTGTGTTCAAGTCACCTTCTTGATTACAGCAAAAAAAAGGCGTTTGTGGTGGGTGACTGAATTGGCCACCCTACTAGACAGAAGGCAGAAGGAGAAAAAACAGGAAAGAAACAGGCAAATTAGTGTTTCGTGGAGAGGGGAGAACAACACCCAGGGAGGAAGCGATACCGGCTGCCTCCTATTTATAAGTCAGCTCTTGCCTGGTGTTCTCTGGATGCTCATAAAGCTGTGATACAGCCTGGCTGCCCTGCTCCCTCCCCAGTGGGTCCTGCTGGGACCACCATGGGGGATGTGGCACCTGCACCTCTGTGGGTATTGCACACACACACAGTCCTAATGTAATACATAAGTTTAAGCCTTTCTTTTATGCTGTGTTGGGGAAGAGGTGGGAATTAAGCATGTCACCAGGACAAGCGTGTACCTGAGCTAACACACTCTGTGGGGTTAGTAAAGAGGGTGATGTATGTGGTAGCTGTGGCAAATTCTGGCTTTTCTTTTGTTTTCATACTAATAATCCGTTTTCAAAACACAGGCAGTTAAGTATAGTAACTATGCAAAGGATGGATTGAAAGGATTGAAAGTCATTTCTAATTGAAACACACTTAATGTTTCTGTTAAAATGTGGCCACTCAAAAAACAAATTCAAATCTCAGTAGCAAATAATTCGGTTGAGTGAACATGTATATTTTGCTGCAGACATCAGTAGCTTCTTGGGATGCTTCAGTAAAAACTACATAATAATAATAGAATAATAGAAGTACAAGTATATCACTTTGTAGGAGTTGGCTGTACTCTGTTAACCCAAAACGCGTTAATGAAAAATGCATAGTTACCCGCAGTTTTAGCTCACTGAAAATAAATGAGAGGAAAAAAGTTACGGTTTTTTTTTTTTCTTTGTCAAACAACTTGAAATAGGCAATTGAATGCCCAGTTTAAGGGCGTTACATGATAGAAGGTGCATGCAAAATAGTATCTAGTCCTTCACAAGATAAAGTCATGCCAGCAAGCAGTGGAATCACATGTGCTGATGTATAAAACCCCTTTGAAAGCCTTGGCTTTCCTCACGAGAGCAAGAAATATTCTTGGAGGCTTTCTGGAGTCAGCAGCCAAAGCCAAACACTATGGAGGGCTTACACCGATACAATCCAAAAGGACAATTTGCTTGGAAGCCTGTGGCTAATTTCAAACACAATGCCCAATGTCATGGTCAGTTGTGCTGCAGAAAGTTGGCAGCTTGGCTCAGCCTCTCCCTGGGCCCGAAAAGATGCGAGTGTTTCTGGCTGAAGCCGCACTGCTTATTGGATGTCCCAGACAGCTTCAAACGAGCCCTTTCATAGCGACACACGGCCAAGTGCGGGCAAAGAAACAAGGCGGGAAACAAAGGTGGCTCTGAAGTCATTTCCCTGTGCTGAAGCCAGCCATCCGGTTTTGCTCCTTCCCCATTGAGGGGGCAGAAAGCGGCAGGAAGAGCAGGGCTGAAAGGGAACAAACCAGCCGAATGGGCTGGTGGGGCGGCAGCCAGGGCTGGGGCCACACCGGGCAGAACTCCCATTCTCCCTGCCCAGAAAGGGATGAATGATTAATTATAGGCATCCAAAAGGTAATATATGTGGTGGGCGGGCGTCATGCAGCCAAGTTCCTAGAGCACCTGCGAAAACAGGAGGCAACGGGAGACAAAGCTGCTCTCCCCCTTTATGGAGAGCACAGAGGGGTACTGTTCCCCCTTCACCTGGTCTGCTTTTGGCTGGCACAACCTCCTTGCAGCACAGCTGATTTCTATGTCCGCTTGCTACATGTAGGAAGCAAAATCCTCCTGTTTACAGAGAAAGGAAACTGTGTGATCCCAGATGCCAAAAGGGAATGGGGGGTGTCTGGCATCCGGTCCTGAGACCAAAGGATGCAAATCTAAGATGTCACCTCTCTTCAGCTTTGCGTAGCCTGACAGCCAGTGCACAAGGCCACTGCATACACAGGTAGTAAAGACGGGGTTTTCAGAGTAACCTGAAGAGAATTAGCCACAGATCCCACTGTAATTAAGCAGAGACTGGCTGTTTGACTCCCTTAGGCACCTTTGAAAATCCCAACCTGCCTTAAGGATTCAGCAAAGCACAGAAGAACCAGCTAAACTGAAATATAAGTTGCATATGGTAAGGAGTAAAGTGCCTGGCTACCCCTAAATTAGGATAAAAGCCATTTCTTTGATTGTTTGTTTGGTTTTGACAGCAAGATAGTAAATTTGAAAAATATGATTTAATAACCATCTGAGTCCTTTCACTACATCCCGTCATTCCACTGCTTTTCCAGCTCCCAGCCCACTTCCCACTCCTGCCCTCCTCCTGGGACAGAGATGTGCCTTTTTATTGTCTCAGCAAAGTTCATGTTTGCTTAAATTTGGGAGAAGCCATGAGACAAACCTTTGCCACCAGTGAGCTTAAGGACTGACCACCACTGTCACAGCTCCAGCCTGGTGTGGAGTGAATGCCTGAGGAAGGGGGAAGTTGAAACCCTGTTTTCTGTGCTGTGTAGCTTGTGTTCCTAACCTGCACTGCAGTGCTGTCCATGTGGGATTCCTGTCACTTTAGGCAAAGCAATCGTTTCAGCAGTAGCTCTTTGACTATGTTTTTTTCCTTTCAGGATTCCCCTAGTGCTGGAGGGTGATGCTTAAACACGTGGCTTTGGGTCCAGATCTGTGGTGCTGCACAGGCATCGCTTCATCATGAGGCAAAGGTGTAGGTGGCTTAGGCAGCCACAGTGGACAGCAAGACAGGTGTCTGAGACCTAAAGGCTGCCTACAACAGGAAGTCGATGCAGTGAAAGGAATTCACATGAGAGACTGGTGCTGCACATTGCATCTCTGATTATGTGTGAGGCTCCCAGTAGAGACAGTGCTTGCAAATTAACTTAATGAAGAACTTCAGGTCCTTGAGACACTGTTAAGTAGAATTTAGCTATCTAAGTTGCTTAGGTTTTGCATGCTGAGTGGAATGATGCCCTATACATCTGTCACATACCCAGTCATTTGGTAGCATGGGGAAGTGAAACCCTGTTGAGAATCCCACTGGAGGAATAATGTGGGGAAGCAAGGCAGACACCACAGCCTTTGCCTCATAAAACAGACAATAAAATTATTTCCTGTTTGGTGAGGAAGATTGGCAGAACAGGAAAAGTAAACACACCAAATAGTGGGAATGATCAGCCTCAGGTTGCTGCAAAGAACACTGTAATAGTTTCCTTGTTATAATTTCCCTCATGCTTTTTCCATTAGCCAACCTGTTAGTGCTTGTAGAGATGCAGTGTCCTCACAGCAAGACCAGGGTACATTTAGCTACAAAAGATGCTGCTATTACGGAAAAGTTGCTTATCCATCCTGGCCTGGACAAACCTGCCTTCACCAAGCACATGCTGCCAAAGAAGCCTTTGAAGAAAGCAAGCGGAGACATCAGTACAGCCAGCAAGCCTGACTTATTTCTTTGCATGTAAAGCTGTGCAAAACAGATCTCACTCACAAACATCTTCAAATAATCATCTCAAAAACTGAAATAAAACTTACTCTGAACTTTTAAAGTAATTTTATTCCTTGGGTGGGTGTATAAAGAGAACATATAGGTTCAGGGAGAGGAGGCATGCACAACCCTGGCATGGCACAGACCTTGTGGTAGCATTGGCACCCTCCCCAGGCTCTCCCTGTGTGTTGCCTGTGCCTGTGTGGTGACATGAGAGCCACACACATGGGCTGATGGTATCACAGGACAGCACTGAACCCTCCACTGTACGGTGCCAGGGCTCAAACACAACAGATGTTGTATGCTAATGCTGGGATGGCAGTCCCTCAGGGCAGACACAGCTGCTGTAGGGGCTCCCTGGTGGCACACTGTGAAAGACCCTTGCATGTGGAGTGGTACGATGGCCATGTCCTCTGCTGCCGGTGGATCCCCTCTCACAGACAGTGTGCGGGAGCTTGCTGAAGCGCGCAGGGTGCTCTTGCAGCTTGCTTTTTTCCAGATGGTTGATGCACACAGTGAACAATGGCCAGGACACCATGGCAGGGTGCCCTGCCAAAACCTCCCCCTGCATACAGAGCAGTGCACAGCCCATAATTAGCGGCCTTGCTCATGTCAAGCTGAGACCGTTCCCATAAAGATGAATCCCCTCCCTGTTGCTCTGAGGGGGGATGTTCAGCCAAGGGTGGGCCGGATGGTCCCAGGATGGGAGGCTGTGGGGTTTAGCTCACAGTCTAGCCCACCTTGCATGAGGCTTTGTGAAGATAAACAGAACAATTTTATTTCCTTAAAAAGCAAACCTGGAAGAAGCACGTTTTGGCCTCTTAATAGAGGTGTCTGGAATATTGGGCGTTCTGGATGTACGCGTGTGCACATGTGAGTGGGGAACAAAAAATACAAATGAAAGGTCTCTAACTTTGCTGCCTTTGCATGCTGACACACATGGCACCCGTGCTCACACTGTTTCTAATCTAGTTTTTTCATCTACACCCAATTTGAAAGTACTAAAATGGCATTAAAGGTATCAGTGTCAAAATGTTCACTTGCTCCTTGCATGCTTAGCTTCCCAGAGCTACCTGTGCTCTGGGATACACAGCGTCTTCTGAGAAAAGGCTGCCTGGAGTTCTCACAGCAACCTTCCAGTATCTGAAGGGGGCCTACAAGGGTGCTGGAGAGAGACTCTTCATCAGGAACTGCAGTGACAGGATGAGGGGTAATGGCTTCAGACTTAAACAGGGGAGATTTAGGCTAGATATGAGGAAGAAATTCTTTACTGTGAGGGTGGTGAGGCACTAGAACAGGTTGCCCTAGGACCTTGTGAATGCTCCATCCCTGGCAGTGTTCAAAGCCAGGCTGGGCAGGACTTTGAGCAACCTGGTCTAGTGGAAAGTGTCCCTGCCCATGGCTGAGGGATTGGAGCTAGGTGATCTTAAGGTCCTTTCCAGCCCAAAACATTTTATGATTCTACGATTCTTCACCTCACATGGTCAGATTGTGCCCAGACAACAGAGGTAGGCAAAGAAAGTAAGGGATAATTTTCACCAGTAACCTTGAAGTCAGGTCTTTGGCTGGACCCAGCCTTTGCCATGACCTCAAGCAGCACCCCAGCTTTGAGCTCACTGATGAAAATTCATGCTGGAGGAAATGAGACAAGCATTTAGTTGGGCTGAGGACACCAGGTCATTCCTTGCCCTTGTCCTTCTGGGCATGCCACTGATGAGAAGCAAAAGCACGGACACTAGAATTGAAGTCTCAGTGACAAAATCCACCTGCCCTCCAGGCGCCGGAGTGGTGCTTGTTCCCATGCAGAAACATCCATGGTTTCTGTGAAATATGGGTCCACACCCAGTGCCTTACATAGCTCCTCTGGTTTTGGGGGTTCCTGCACTCCCTGCTTGGGAAAGGTCATGTTTTGTGTGTGTAGATTTATGCTTCACAAAAAGACATTCAAGCACTGTAGCTTTTCTCCTCTTAAAAATAATACAGAAGTATTATTATAATAATAAAACTAGAAGTCCTGCCACAAACTCATTTGAACAGCCTTGGAAAGCCTTTGTCAAATGTGGTATTTCCAGGACAATCACTGCTAGCAGGGTCTTCTCCCTCTTTCAGTGCCTGGCAGTGCTGGGATGACAAAAATACAAGCTGCTGCTGGAAACACTCCCTTAGCTGGCCCATGGCTCACGCACCTTGGCTGTTACTGTGGGATGTGCAGAGACACCCAACTGCCATGGGGGACTCTCTCCCTCCATGTGAGCAAAGGGCAGCCAGATGCTGGGCAGCCGGTGCAGGGTGCACCGCAGCAGCAATGAGAAATTGCAGAGAAAAAAGTGCATACTTTGGTCTTGTTTCTACCTTCTCTAAGCTTCTGTATCTGGACTGTGAGTCTCTGCAGCAGGCAAGCAGGTCATTAGTTCCCACCAATTATCCCACCCAATTTCCCCAGCCAGGTACCTGTGCATTATTACCTACCGCGATAGAGGGGGAGCTGATATCACTCCCCAGCTTTCCCTAGCTGCTAAGGTCTTGTTCTGGTCTCATGTGAAGGCATGGTTGGAAAGGCTTGGCATGATCTGCTTTCAGATGAAGCACCCAACATATGGTGCCACAGAAAATGAAGCTGCTGAGATATTTGAAAGGGAATGTAGGGCTGGATTTTTCAGGCATGTAGCCAAATTGGATGTGCTGCCTGGGTGTTTCAGTGTGGTTGTGCTATGTTGACTACACAGAGAAAGCAAAGACTATTTTTCCTGAAGTATTTAATGGTATGTGCAGATGTCCAAATGCTCAGACAGTATATGGGTGAAATACTATTCTCTCATGCTTTGTCCTCATACCCTGTCTCTAAACCTCCATTGCTGCCTCTGGTCAGAGATCCTGGTCTAACTGATCTGACTCTCTGTCAGGCACTCTCATCTTCTTAAATCCCTTAATTTTGCCAAAATTGATCTTTAGCTTTTCTACTTAGGGAGAACAGGGAAGAGTTGGGTGCTGAGCACATGAAAGAGGCGATGCCAGCTCACCAGCAGTCCTCAGGCTGGGATTTGGAAACCTGAGCACATCGGTGTCCCAGTGTGTGTTTGTGAGCTGAAAGGATGAGTGAGGCAGTGCTGTAGCCTCTCTGCAGCTACTGCTCTCCCAGGCCTCCACCAGTAGGCTTTGTCTTTTTAATTTTGGGTCACTTCAACCAACTTCATGCCCCATATAAAGCAAGTGTCGCTAGAGCCAGGAAGAAGAGAGCGAGCATCTGAGAAACCCCAATTCACGTCTGCAGAGTGATTGTGCTGCTCTTGGCAGTTGCAGGTGACAACCCTAACGAGTGCCCAGGAGCAGATGAGAAGTTTATGGGCTGTTAATAAACTGTAACCAATCGGTGAATGCCGGCGGGTTGTGTTCAAGCTGTTTGGGGCCACAGGTCCTTGGGAGAGCTTGCACTTGCTCTGCCTTTATTTCAACGTAGCAGAAACATGAAAGCATGTGGCAGACTCTTGATGTTTGTTACAGTGAATAGACATATGTCTCTCACACTAGCATGTAGAATATCTAATTAAGTTACACAATGATAGTTTATACCCAGGGGCAGTCACAAACAAGACGCTGTCACACTATTAAGAACACAAACAAAATGAAAATTGCCTCTTTATACATTATAATGAATATGTTTTCAATACATTAAAAGTTCATTTACTAACAGACTCTGTAAGACCGGGTGGATTTCTGCTAATATAATTTTGGTTTTTTTCAGAAGGATCAGTTTGTATAGATAGGATTAGGGACAGGTTTGTTAATGAAGCTACCAAGCATTTTTCCTCCATAGACCTGAAAGAAAAAATTGAATCTTAATCGTGTGTTTATTTTGTTGTCTCAAGCAAATCCTGCTCTTCAGAGCCCCACCTCAGGAGGGGCTTCTTTTCTCCCTTCCGAGGACATGCATGCTATCGATTTGTCTCCCTTTCTCTCATCTTCCCTCTTCTTCACCAGCTTTTTGTGGTTTTGTGGGCAAGAGATAGTAACCCTGAAGCCAGATGGGTTCAGGGGTTATCTCCTACTTCTGGGTCAGGGATGCCAGATTACAAGGTCTGTATGACAGGATGGTGCTCGAGCAGAACCCAGGGGTAAGTCCTGATCAGGGTTCAGCTTTTCTTGTGAGGATCTCAGATGGGTGATGCATCCTTCCTCTAAAAGCTGCCTGGGGCATTGCTGTCCATTCCTCTTCCCACCAGAAATCTCCATTCCTGTTAAGGCATTTTGGCACTTCTTCTATGTCAGAATAATTAAATTGTGCAGCATTTGCATGGGCAAAGCCTGCAGGTGGGGAGGGCTGTGCAATCTGGGGAAAGCTCTTTGCTTCCATCTCTACCTTCAACATAACTGAGAGCCAGGAAGTAGAGTCAATCCCTGTGAGGGTGCTTGCTTTCTTTAAATCAACTCTGGTTAAAACCTCCCTGAAAATGAAGAGGGAGCTGGGAGGCTGCTGCTGCCAGGGTGTGCTGCTGAGCTGCAGGTTGGAGCTGCCCACTTCATTGTCCTTCCCCAGGTCACGACAGGCTGCCCTTCCACTGTACAGACCAGTTTAACAGGGAGCACATTCCCGTGCAGTAAACCTGGGATGTTTTATAAGGGACAGGTCACTCCCGGAGCCATCTTTAGGGCTTCACTTAAACAGGGACTTGCTTTCAGGGGATTCTGGCTTAAGGCTCATGCAAACTCAGCCTCAAATGGTTTGAACTGGCCATCCTGGGAAGTGAGGAGCAGACAGGGAGGGTTCCAAGAAGGCAAATCCTTCCTCACAGCACTTCTGCCCGGTGCCTGGCAGAGACTCAGCCCCTATAGGAAAACCAGTCCCAGAAATGTACCCCAGAGAGCACAGGGGAAGGGACCACAGTTACACAGTCTCCCCTCTCTCATCTCTCATCTCTCAACTCAAGAGCCCTTCAATATGTTTTTCTCACCGCCGCTCATTTCCCCCACATGTTTTTTGTGCACTGTGGCTGGAGTTCTGACTAGGAAAAAGATTTCCCTATCTCTTCTGGGACACTC